CGTAGTGGACGGTGAAGAAAGGGATCGTTATGGTCGACCGCCGCGCACAGCAGTGCATCAGCAAAAATATTCAAACCTGGGAATACAACAACAGGACGCGTCTCGGATATAACCGAAAATAGTGTTCGAGCCATCATTGCCTGTCAATAAAAGGTGCCCGGCGAGAATACAGTGTCATGGAAGGTGCGCCGGTTCTCCGAATTCCCTTGCAATCCAAAATGATAACCGTATGGGATATATCCCTACGTAGCCTGCTAGAATGACAGCCGTACTCCTGGTGGATACAGGATAATGTAATGCTAGTAGATATACCAAGCCATTGTACCAAGCGGAACACGCATCCTGTATGCGCTATATGATCAAGAATATTCAGAATAGATACTCCCAGCAACAACGAACACGTTTATACCCATGAAAGACTCGTAGTCGTCGAAGACGATGAGGTCGATCGTGACAAGCGCGAAGGTCTAGCGCTCATCTGGTCCGTGCGCTCGAAGATCCGGACTTCGGAGCTTCGGCCGGCCCAACCTACCAGACGCGGACCCGCCTTTGACGCGTCTTGCTCTTGGGACCGGGGGACCTTGATAAATACCGCGACCTTGTCCTCTCCGACTCCTTCGCCTCTTCCCCCCGATCTACCACCACTGTTCTTCTGAGATATTGAGCCCCTTCAATCTCTTGGAATGAAGTTACCCGGTAAGCTGATGTTCGATGCGAGCCGGAGCGCCTTTCGCTGACGCTATCACCCGCGTCCGGGCCGTCACCAGAGTTCGTGCTGTCTTCACTCTGAACAGATGTCCGGTGAAAGGTGAGTGCTGTCTGCATATCATAACACCTCTCTCTTACTCATATTCTTCGTCAAGTACTGCTCAGCTTGGCTAATTCCTCGACACTGTAGGTTCCAGCATATGGGGAATGGTGAGTTTGACGCATATATGCTATCGTCACCGGCGCACTAACATCCCTGTATTAGGGTCCCTTCGGCGCGGTATACTATAATCAACTAGTCCTCACGGTATGTCAGTACTTAGTATCCTGTCAGATTCAGCTAACAATATGGCAAACTGTCGTTACTAGGTTGCCCTCTGGTATGAAGTGAGCCTCGTTCTGCTCTTACAGGAGTCTCTTGGTATGTGAAGTGCCTGTATGCGCTTGTATCATTGTAAGCTCACAGTGCCGCGTATACTCTAGGGTCCAATTACTGCACACCATGTCTCCGCGCCGTGTTGGCTCGCTCGACGCCCTCCTCGCCATTGTTATGGTTGTAAGTCGATATCTTAAGGTACGTCTACCGTGTTTCTTTTGCTCTATGTGTCTGTATTACACATGTATATGTAGTTTTTGTACCTACCATAATCCTAATATGATTTTCTGTGTTCCAACATGCTTTGAGTGATCGTTGTTTGTGTAATTTCGCGAAAAACGCGTTACTAGCGCTAGAGGCTTGTCTACTAGCATTATAATACCTTGTATTGTGCCCGAGCCTGATATAAAACTGTATTCTCATATCGCACCCTAACCCATTGCAAGGTGTCCGAAGTTCGCTAAGAATATAGTGTTGCGGGGTAATTACAAGGTAAACCAAACTTCGGCGACCACTACATTCCCCCGCGACATTTCAGACGATTATATTAGGCGTGGATGTTTAATTATTTTTGCTGATTCCCAAGCAGACTCCAACAGTCCCAAGGCGAGGTAGCGGGAGAAACGGCTTCATCTCAGGGCGCCTCAGATATGCTTGATCCCATCAGGCCATACACGTGCTGAACCATCCTCTCCCTTACCTCGCCAGAGGGACTGGTATCAAACATTGAGTAAACAGCGCTTGTTCAGCGCTAATGAACGTTCGGACTTCGAATTGAACGTTTCTCACAGTAAATTATGTAACCTCTCTCTCCTAGAATATGATGTATGATACTGTCAACTTGGGGATCTGCGGGATGCAACAAGCAAGAGGTAGACGGCAAGTTTCATACGTGTTGCTATGTGTAGTACATGCTGCATCTGTGCAGAGTTACGCGAGGCATTTCTCGATGAACTACCACTACAGCAAGCGTCGTCGACACTAGCAGACAGACTTGTCTTAGAGGCCGCCGGACTCCGGCCATAAGGTCCGTGACGCCGGACGATATTTCGCGATAATGCGTGTAACACTTACCCAAGGCCGCAGGTTAGAACGAGGAACTCAATAAGCACTCTGCTTGAGTCGGGCAGCCGTTCTTGCGCGCCCTTGCGATACGTTAAGCCCGCGGCGCGCCGCAAGTCGAATGCGCCGTCACAGCGCTGTGGCGACTCGAAGGAGGCGTATTTGCTCCTGCAAAACATGAAAAGATCCTCGCTGTTGAGTTTTGATGTAAGAGTATGTTGTTATGTAGAGCCAAATCAAGACCTCATAGGCAGGTCTCTCAGCTCCTCCCAGCACACCGAGAACATTAGGATGAGCCGTCCCAAACAGGATTCAAGATTATCCTCCAGTATGTTACATAATCAAGTACGAGAAACGTTCAATTCGAAGTCCGAACGTTCATTAGCGCTCTATAGACGCTGTTTACCCAATGTTTGATACCAGTCTCTATAGCGAGGTAAGGGAGAGTGCGTTCGGTTAGTGTGTGGCCTGATGGGATCAAACCTTCAAAGCCGCCCTGGGATGAAGCCATTTCTCCCGCTACCTCGCGCAGGAGACTGTTGGAGTCTGATTCCCAAGTACCAACGGTACTGGGTCTTGGTGTACCCGGAAGCAAAAGACGCCCGTGTCCCATAAAGGGCAATCCGGAGCACCGAAAGTCACAGAAAAGGTAGTCCGGAGCACCGGAAATGCTTCATTTGGCAATTTTGGCCGCCATCATCGGGGAAAACCGGAGGCTGAGTCAGCACCGGCCTATAGAACTCGGACGATCTGCTGTACCAAGTTGGCTCGAACGGCGTACTATTCCAAGCAGCAAAGCAGCATGCTAGGCGTAGTTGGTAGTGAAATCAGGAGGGAAAGAGTGTAATAGAAAAGAAAGGCTGAACACGCAAAATAAAGTGCTGTGGAGTGTCGATTGGCATGTTGTATGACTTGAACACAATATCCATGTCACTGTGATAAAGGCCCGCGTCGTTGATTTGCTGGACATACCGCGAACATCAGTGGTATGTCATAGACTATGGTACTACGTGATTGTGATTGAAATGTCTTCGTCCAGTCGTGAGTTGGTACTTGGGCTGTCGCCGCGGCAGCGGCGCTACAGGGCTTGTGTGGAAGCGAGACGCTCTGGGCGCTTTAAGCGCTCACTTGGCCGACAATAGCCAGCAATAGCCTGGGGGCATTCACACACAGAAAGCATACATGAGCTATATATATTGTGCGTGTACAGTCCGTCCATTGTAAGCTTGCGAGTGCGGGTCCGTGATTACGCGGTAAATATAGCCGTCTAAGCCTCCTTCGAGGCCTGCTGGGGGCTGTCCTTGTCGGCAGCTGCACCAACGTCCTTGGGCTCGCCCTTGTGGGCGTCGTCCGACGAGTGAGGCTTCTCCTCCTGCTCGGGCGTCGACTCGGCCTGAAGGTGTTCAACTAGCGTCAGCACGTTATCTCCGGATCCAATACGGTAACTTACAGGGGCGTCCGAGGGTTCAGACGGCTGTTCCGCAGGTGCCTTTTCAGCAGCCTCTGAAGTCGAAGTTCCCTTGCCCTACGTTCGCATCGTTCGCATTTGTGTCAGTTGATTAAGCGATAGTGAATAGTTGCGTACCTCTTCAGCGGCCTGTGCGTCCTTTGGCGAGTCCTCGTTCTACAACACCGTGAGATCAGCGGAGGCACGTCACAGGAGAGACCCACAATGGCAGCTTGAGTAGAGGCCTCCACCTCGGAAGCAGGCACCTCGTTACCTTCATCATCCTTGGTTGGGACGGGAGTCTCGGGAGCAGGGGCGGGAGCAGCTTCGGACGCAGGAACGGGCGAGGGCTGCGGGTTCGTCTCTTTTGATTTAGGTAGGGACTTTTCCACGGATTTGTGTGCCGCCGACTTGGCGGGGGGCGTGAGCAGGTAGAGGGCCTATCGCGTGCGCGGTATGTTCGTCATCTAACACTTTAGACATAGCACTCAGAGTACGCACCAATGGGCCAAACACGACCGCGGAGCCAATCTTGTACGCAAAACACACCGTGAAGTTAGAAAGACTGCTTATGGATCGAAATGAAAGGAACGCACGATCCAAGGCATGTCCCCACCTTTGGCGGCATGGCTCTCGGAGCTCATCATGCGCCTACCTGCATTGCGCGAGGAGCGTATTGCAGGCCTAGCCAGCTGTGAGACCAATGTTCGAGAGAGTCTGGAGGCCATTGCTACTACCGACACTGAACGAGCACGCTACACTGAGCGATGACGACCTGGTGAACCCAGCGGGAGCCATCGCGCGAAGCGCTACCCCGCCTCCGTAACGCCGACACGCGGGTCGCTCCGGTGCGATCACGTACGGGCGCTAACAATATCTTCCGTTCCCACGATCATTAATGAAGATTCCGACATGAATTTGAGGCATTTCAGCTTGCTCTGGCCTCGAACAGTCATCAATAGTCGTCTGAATATGTGGAACATGTAAAAAGATTTGATTAAAACGCGTATATCAATTTTTTGAGTCTACACAGTACGCTGTACTCGTTTACATAGTTTTCGGTTGTCTCCAGCGTTCACAAGCCGAAAGACTATGTCATCTGTGTGGTTATGTTTGACTGAAGCATGCAGAGAGGTACAATGATTATGCCCTCGCAGTCGCCTTGCAGCACGAGTACTTGTGCGATCTGGTTCTGTTGCACAGACTGTTTTCTTCGTACATGCCCGCGTAGCTCAATCGGATAGAGCGTGAGACTTTTAGGACTATGTCCGGGGGTCGAACCAGGGCAATGAGTCGGTCGAACATGGGCTAACATCGAGTAGCGGATCAAGGCAGAGGAGGTGAGCCGTGTGTAAATGACGCCGACGTACCTCTCGGTCTTGAGGCAGAGCAATCCCTGAATGATATGCCCGCGTAGCTCAATCGGATAGAGCGTGAGACTTTTAGGACACCTCCTAAGAGTACGCGTAGGCATCTCAAGGTTGCGAGTTCGACCCTCGCCGTGGGCTAGTTGGTTACTTTTTTACTCTATGTTGTATTTTATTACCAACGGCTTGAGGAACAAAGGTTATTGCGTGGAACGTGCTTGTGATTTTATTTGTGGCGAGTAAGCGTCGTATAGTCGCGTCTTGTCACACTGTCACGACGCGCGTATGGTATAAGCGCTCGGCGGGGGTATTTGAGACGCGTCAAGCGGAACGCAGGTTGCTTCCTACCACCATCTCCCCCGACCAAGTTCACCCAACAACGCCTCACTGAAGATGCCCGGCTCGAAGCGTCCTGCCGAAGGAGAATGCGACGGAAGCCGTGACCCGAAGCGTGGCAAGGGCGTACCGCCCCCTCCTGGGTGAGTGCCGTTGACGGTACGCGAGGCGACGTGCTTGACCCCGCACGAAGCACGATCGACTTCAGGACGTGGACGAAGCCGGCCACGATGACTTTCCTGACGTTCATGAAGGACGCGCTCGATGTCATTAGGCAGGCAGACAAGACGAGGCTCGAAGCCAACCAAGCCGAGGTCGAGAAGCTCAAGCTGCAGAAAGAGGTCGAGGCCGAGAAAGCGAGGCTCGAGCTCGCTGCAATCGAGAAGCTCAAGCTGCAGAAGGAGGTTGAGGCGGCAGAGATTGAGAAGCTGAAGCTGCAGAGGGAGGTCACCGAGGCTCGCGCGCACAGCGAGAGCAACGGAGGTGAGTGTATGCTGTTGTGTGAAAAGTGTCTCATACTGATGCACCGTATAGGGAGCCCCTCCGGCCACAACTTCACTGGCGCAGGTGAGTACACGGTGCATATATGCGGTGTTCTCTATACTGAGGCGCATATAGGCAGTGTTTTGGGCTCGGCTGCTGCTTCGCCCTTTGTAACCTCCTTTCTCGTTTATGTTGGAAACTACTGACTGTCTCAAACAGGACGGCGCCGCTGCCAATGCAGTCAACATCGGAAGTATCGGTAGGTCGTCTCCTCTAGCTGGTGCGCGCGCGTCTCATTCTGCGCCGCAGAGCTGGCTCAGCTGAGTGCCGCCTTTATGGATGTGGCAGCGCCGCAGGGTGGTGACCCGGGTATGCAATGGGATCCGTCTGCCTATTCCTTTCCCAATGTCTGGTGAATCAAACACTACTTGATGTACTGTATCACTCGTGTTGTGCATGTCGCTCGTTTTCATGTTGTACTTCTTACTGCTGTCACTCGCTTTGATCATGTAACGGAATGGAATTAATGAACAATGCTACAGAGACTTTGTGACTTTATCAAACTGGGTCTTGTTCTTAACAACACGGACAGGGAGCTCCTCGACAAACTCATCATCCTTGTGTGCGGCAACAAGTGTTTGCATAGCAGTTACGGCCTCGCGCACACCTTCGCGGGCATCTTCTTCGAGGACAGAGTGCTATAAGACTCGTGTCAGTACAGCTCGAAGAAATAGACATAGGACTCACATAAGCACCGCGCTGGAGGAGATCGGCGACGGAGGCGTCGGGGAAGCTGCGCCACGCAGTGCGGACGGCTTCTTCAATCACTATGGGAGAGACGGTTAGCAGACGATAATCCGCGGTGGCCTGTGAATACGTACGACGCGGGTCTTCGTGTGCAGGCGATGCTGAACGCTCGCGGTGAAGAGACGGGCTGCTCGACGCTTGTACGGTCGATGAAGACGTGTCGGCGTCGGACGGCGCGACAAGAGTGGGAGAAGGTGCAACGGTGACCAAAGACAAGCCACCGGCCGTCGGCATGGGCAAAGGGGTGATGGGACGAGCAATGGGTGGGGAAGCCGCAGAGCGCGAAGAAGACGGGACTGCGACCGTGTCGCTGCGAGAGCGTGCAGGGGCCCGGTTTTTCATAGCGCTGTCAAACTGGGATTGAGACTTGATGATGCGTACAGGGAGTGTGTCGAGGATGTCATCATGTTGTCCCGCAGCAAGAATCGACTGCATGCGAGTGACGGCTTCGCGGACGGAGTCGGCTTCGTCGTAATCGAGAGCACATTGCTGCAAGGTACGGGTCAGTACGAGCCGCGACAGAATGTGTGCGACTTACCTCGGCGCTGCGCTGCATCAAATCGCTAGCGGACGCGTGCGAGAACGTGCGGAGGGCGGTGCGGACCGCTTGTTCCAAGGCTTTCAAGAGCGTGATAAGTGACTGAAGCTCGTCAGAAGAGGCGTGTACTCACAAACCGGGGTTTCATCTTGGCCCGCCGACGAGGACACTGCGACCTCGGCTGCAGATGGTTCAGTAGCTTGGCGTGAACTTGCGCGAGGCTGAGGCGGAGGATCTATGCGCAAAGATGCGACGCGCGAGGAGGATGGGGCGTGCGACGACGAGGAAGGAATGGCGTGCGACGAAGGACCGGGACGCGAAGGGCCGACATGCGACGAGGGGCCGGCGTGAGACGAGGGGCCGGCGTGAGACGCGGTGGCATGTGCCAAAGAGGCAGCCACGGCTTTGACAAACACGACGTCGTCGTCGTCTTCGTCGTCATCATGATACTCGTCATGGTCGTTGCCGGCGTCCTCGTCCACATAGTCCTCGTCCATGTCGTTGTCGCCCCCGTCCTCGGGGTCCAATATGATCGCCCTTGCCTTGCCCTTGGCTTTGAGTGCTGCGATACGGCCGGACGAGCGGCCGGTCTGTGTCGCGGGCGGATCGACAATCACGACGTCGTCGTCGCTGACGTCGTGGATCTCTTCAACGACGACAGCGGGAGCTTTACCCTTGCGGCTCTTGCTGCTGTTGCCACCGTCCTCGTTCTGCTTGCGTTCGACGCGAGCGTGATCGGCGTTGGGACGGTGCTGGTGCTCCTCGTACCACTCCGAGTACATTTCGCTGTCGACACAGTCATTCCTGCAGTGTTTTTGAACCGCGGCAACACTTTTCCCCCTACACGGGTTGAGTCTCGCAGAAGACCAAAGAGTACAGGAAACGTACCTGAACCGGCAGGATTTCGTCGGGCAGCGGTACTGGGAGGACCCCTTGATGACCATCTGCAGCTCGAGGTCCCACCATCGGGTGTGAGTGTGCCTGGCCGAAGCGATGAGCAGACGCAGACGGAAGGCGAGCAAAGACGTACATGTGCCACATGAGGTCTGATTCGTCCTTGTGCACTTTGATGGGTTTGTGGCGATGAGTAAAGAGCTTGCATTTTTGACAGAGCCATTCGTATCCGTCCTCCTACGGACTGAATCAGCGCGGGGATAGGATGAGAGAAGGGCAGTGCGTACCTCGTACTGTTTCCGCCGTTCTGCCTGGGCAATGTAAGGCTTGAGAATCTCTTCCGCGCAAGCCCAGCGGAGATCGGCTATCGGGACCTGGAGGATGTCGACATCTTGAGGGTCGTCCATAGTGCAGACAACAGGCTGCGAGGGGTCGGCCGGGATGTCTTGGGACGCGTTGTGATAGTCGACAAAGTAGTCCTCGTCGGCGACGTCCGAATCGTTGTCGTCTGTCTTCTTGGACTTTTTGCCCTTGCGGCGCGACGCGGGCTGGGACGGCTTTGCAGTCTCCTTGCTCTGTTTCGCCAAGAGGTTGAGGTCGTAGAATTGCTGAGACGGCTGACCGGTGACGGATTGGACTTCGTTCTCGAGCATGTGAGTGATACCGAGGTTGGTGGCGTCGCGGGCTTCCCTGAGCATGTCCTCCTCCTCGTCGAAGAAGTGAGACGCGGTCGCAGAGGCGCCCTGGATCCAGTTCTCGAACGCGGCCGAGTCGCTGTTCAGGTCGGGTAGCGGCGCAAGGGACCAGTCCATGTCGGCGTATACGGATTGCATGACGGCGTCGTCATCTGGTACGGCATGAGACATAGACAAAAGCACACGACGTAAGCACTCACCCATGACGATCGGTTCGAGAGAGGGATCGAGCGTGGCTGCGTCTACTGCCGACGCGAGAGCAGGGTCGTTGGGATCGAAATCAAGGGTGAAGGGGAGGTCATTGGGATCAAACTCGGGCGCATGGTTAGCGTCGTCGTCTGGGACATCTTCGGGGACGTGTTCCGGGGGAACAGACTCTGTCGCCGCCGCCGCCGCCGCCGTTGGAGGCGCGGACCGTCCGGACGCGGCGGGACGATTGGCAAGATAGGCCGCCTTGGTCATCTCGGCTCCGAGGTTGTCCAGTGACTTGAGCGCGCTGAAGCGATTGTCGACCGTGTTTTCTGGGTTCGAGGGATCGAAAGCGAGCTCGTGCTCTTCGCGGTCGAGCTGTTTGTTGGCGGCGCGGGTCGACACTTTGCGAGACTTTGTAAACGCACGGAGGGCCTTGTCAAATTCCTTGGCGAGCTGTATGGCATGAGATGACGGTCAGGATATAGAGTCAAAGGACGTACGAAGGGCTCTTTCTCTGCAAACTCGGGCTTGATCGTGCAATACTTGCGGATCTTGTTCATGTTGGCAGTGTTGGGCTTCTGATACGGATCACGGTCCGCGCGTTGGTCTGGTGCGTCGACCGGCGGGCCGTAGCATTCACGCCAAGCGGCCCACGCCGCGGGAAGGGCGGCGTCGATACGAGCCAGTTCTGGGTCAGCCTAAGGGCACGGTGAGCAAAGACACTGTCGTCGACGAAAGGACACTGACTGCACGCTGCTCGATGATGTCTTGGGTGATGAGGCGGCGCCGCTTGCCTTGCGCGGGCTTGTTGCGTTTCACGCCGACGAGGGCGGTCACCGCTGCGCTGCGGTACTGATGGAGGCGCAGACTCTCTTGGGTGACCTCGTCGGTCCTGGACTCGATCTCGCCGAGGCGGACACCGACGAGCGGGATGTTGGCGGTGTTGCGGCCATAGTGTCGGTTGGTGGTGTTGTAGGAGGCGCGGTGGTTGAGCAGTTCGCCGGCGACCTGGGTGCCGAGTTTGATGGAGTACTGAGAGGGCGTGAGTACAGGCAAGGGGTGGATGGGCAAAGGACGTACGTCGTTGCCGGCATCGCGCCGGAAGCACCCTGTGCCGTTGGTGGGTAGATTCGCGTTCTTGCAACGGCGGCGAACATGGGAGATGATGCCCTTGGTGTCGGCAGGGCGGGGGAGAA